ACAAAGTGTTTTGTGATAGTACTTGTGCGTACAATTACTCTTTTGCCCTTATGTCTATATTGAACACAAGGCATATATCGTGTCATCCCTGTCCAGTTCAATATTGGACCCTTAGATATTTGTTCTGTTATGCATGATGGGAAAATTCCATCTAGGCCACTCATGTTCCTTAGCATGCTTTGTGGAGTACCCATCAATTGTTTCTATGGTCATCCAGTTACGGACAATGTTAGATCAATAATAAAGTACTTAATTCTACATTTAGGGTCCATAGTGGTTTTAGGTCGAAGGGTGGTATACACCACTATCACCATGAGAGTAACTTATAACATTTTGCATAACATTCTATATAGTACTCTCATAGCAGGTCAATCCAGTATAAATATTACTCCTAATATTCATACGTATGTTAAAACTTGATAACTCCTTATCCATGATCCATGATATGTGATCATTACTCTATCTACATAATAGTCTTAATGCTGTTAGGTTATTTCACTTCACAGTAAAGCTCGACTACAAATACTTTAAGAGTAGTGTCCTTATATTTAATGAGATCTCATGATTAAGTCACACTTAATATTTCAATAAACGGACTAGCTATTCAAGGGATTTTTTATCTTGGAAAAACAACTATAATAAAGAAATGCATTTTATCAATAATAAGTAATTAAATACAAGTATCAAAAGTATTGGTCTCTAGGGCTTACACCAACAATCTCTCACTAGCACTAGAGTCAATCAGGCATACCTCTAATACCCATAGAGCACACCGTAGGCGGAACTACGACTGCTCTGATTCTTTACTTCTTTTGAGTAAAGATACGTAGGCACAAGGGCCACAATCCTTGCCGAGCACATTCCCACATATCTGTAGTTCCCCGAACTACGTGGACTCTGAATTTCTCATATCTGTTGAGAATACGTAGGCCTAGGACTGCGAAGTCCTACCGAGTCTGTGCTTTCTCTCTTCCTCCCCGTTATCTCCTTTTTCCCTGTTTCTAACCCTTCTTTTACCCCGTGGAACACTCTTTTATAGCATAATCTTTAAGCAAATAAATTCACACGTCGACAAAGAAATGGTTCCCATCGAGTACGATGGATGTGAGGGGTGCTAATACCTTCCCCTCGCATAACCGGCTTCCAAACCCGTTATTGGTTGCGAGACCATCTTATCCATTTCTTTCTTCAGGTTTTCTTGATATTTTCCTTTCCCTCATGGGATAAATAAAGTTCGGTGGCGACTCTTCTGTCTATCTTTTTCGCCTCCCCGTCGTTGCACGATGCATCATATTGATAGTGTCCTAACCTGTGACATCTAAAACACTCAATGACAGCTTTGTTGATCGACTGTCTTTCCCTTCCTCTACCTTGAACACCTCTAAATACACCTCTACCTCTTCCTTTTCCTGCTCTATCTTCATGTGATATTTTTAGAACTTGCTCTTCTTCTCCATGGCCTCTCATCCTCTGCTCATGAACGAGAAGACTGTTATGCAACTCGTCAATTGTCATCGTGTCTAGGTTGTTGGATTCTTCAATTAAACATACCACATAATCGAATTTTGAGATCATTGATCTCAAAATTTTCCCACTAATGATTGTTTCAGTCATACTTTCACCAAGAGCTTTCATTTTGTTAGCAATGGTTAGAGTACGAGAGAAATAAGCATTCACTGTTTCTCCTTCTTTCATATTAAGAATCTCAAAATCCCTTCGTAACGCTTGCAATTGTGCCTTTTAAACTCGGGTTGAGCCCTGGAATTTCTACTTCATTGAATCCTATATACCCTTGGATGAATCTTTGTTAAGGATTGTTTCAAGCATATCATGAGGGATTTCTTGAAAGAGGTAATTTTTTTGCCTTCAAGTCCTTCGATTTCTGCTCTTCAATCAATTTGTGTTGTGTCTCTATCGGTTGTACTCCACCTGCCACGACCAATATTCCATTCTCAGTGAGACCCCAACATTCTTTAGAACGGAGAAAATTTTCCATCAACATCGCCCAATGGTCATAGTCACCATCAAACTTGGAAATCGTGGGCTGCGTGAAACTACTGTTACCATTTTCTGCCATTCTTCTACTTGAAAGAAAATGGGAGTTTCTCTTCTACGTTCACTGTTTCTCTCACACTCACTGTGTTTTCTCACACTCACAATGTTTCTCTTACACTCACACACTAAGGATCAAGCCTCAATAATGGAGCTTTGATACCAATTGTCGAAACTGAACACTGATATAAAGTTTTGGAGAGAATTACTTATTCAATTAAAAGCAAATTGTTGGCTATATAGCCTTACAAATTGAAAACTGAAACGCAGTTACAACTACTCCATATTTACATGCCTATAACGTGGAATGAGTCACTAAGAAAAATTTTAATTTCACTTTTTAAAGAATAGGCCATTATATAACAAACTGATAAACATAAAATAATTAAATATTAAAAATAAATGATCGTAAATCTAACAATATCATCTGAATCAACAGTGTCATTGGTTTTGAGTTCAGGCTTTAATATGGGTCCCACCGGATATATAGTTGGTAAAGTAGCTAGATCAGGATGAGTAAGAGTGAACCGCATAGCATTCAAGCTCTTCAAATGAATTTACTATAATACCATCAGCGTTCTTGAGGCCTCTTACATAGTTCATGAAAAACGGTTCCCATTTCTTGCTTACCACAGTATCTGGATACGAGTATAACGGAACCGAGTTTTCGAAACTCGGGATATCCAACTCAGTGAGTTGCTGCAACCGAGTCACATCGACGCTGTCTCGTTTACGGAGAGTGTGAAGATGAAGATTCAAACCAAGGGAAGCAACACTGGAAGTGAAGAAAACAAGTGTCGGAACGGAAAATTCTTTGGCAATATCAATCATATTGGTGCAAAACATGTCAACAACGAAGGCGGCGAGGACTCCGTTTTCTCCTCTTTCAGTAGCGAGGTTAGCGACGGCTTGTTTGACGTTTGGTTTCTGAGCTTCTATGAGAGCATTCATGGCGGAAATTGGAGCGGTGTTTGGAGGAAGAGAATATTCTGGAAGGTTGATGACGTCGAGTGAAGCGGTGATTGGAAGAGATTTGGTGTAATCGGTTTCTGAGGCGTGTGGGAATTTCATAACTAAGACGGTTATTCGGAGACGGTTGTCACGGTTGGTTAGAAGCTTTGCAAACTCAAGGGTGGAAACTATATGACTCGTAACGGGAAAGGGATAAACACCACTTCTGCTTTCTTCATCTTGGAGCAGAGGATACACAATTATTCAATGTAAGTTACTGTGTTTTGAATTGTTATTTGATACTACTGATTTTATATCGAGCAATTGAGATAGGAAACCCCAATTTCAGGAGGATGAATTAGAATGACATGTTTGGTATATGTCTGTGTCTGTACACCATTATTGAAATATATACATGTTTTGTTTCACAGTGTAGCATTTAGAATTGATTCTGAAGGTGTAAAATTGATTAAGACATGTTTGGTTATTCTGCTTTTCAGAATTGATTCTACTTTGAAGTTAGAATTTGTAACTTTTGAGTATAAATGTGATTCTGTTCAACTCACTTCTGCGAGAATTTATCCAAACATAAATCATTTTATCTGCAACTCTCTTTTAGTCCGAATAAGTTTACAAATCAATTCACGCATAATCAATTTTTTTCACCGTACAACCAAACACACTTAGATAATATTTATTAGTTAATTAGTTTATAAGTGCATATTTAGATTGACAATGAGATTGGTGAAATTAAGGCAATACTACACTGACTTAAGCAAAAAGTATATTCTAGAATATCTATAAAATCAGATAGGTGTAGTGATTTAGTCCGTTCATTTAAATTTTTCAAATTGGACTAAGTTTGAGATTGGAATGTAAGTGATGTCATTGCTTTGCTGGGTGTTATGGAAAATGTGGAATGAGAGAAAGGTGAGATTGAAATGTTTGTCTTTATATTTATGGAAGAATGAGTGGATGGCTAGTTTTCTTTGCTTTTGGTATTAGTTATTGACTATGGTCCTACATGTGGACTTTTGAGAAATTATGTGGTAAACAAGGGTTTAGTCTGAATAGTTATTATATTGTTGGATTTTTTCATAATTCAATGAACCATAATATGTGGTTTGTGGGAATGCGTATTGCATAGGAATAGGACAATATAGTGAAGACTACCACTTTTTTTAAAATTGTATTCTGGATTATTTTGGAGCTTTTGTAGACCTGATTATGTTACAATAATATCCTCTGGATTGAAATTTTATGGTTCAAGCTTCTTATAATATCAGTGTTATCAAATATCCGCCATGACGGCACTATGGCGGATATATGCAGCGGTTTTTAGGCTCTCCGCAATAGTAAACATTGGCTGATATTGCATGTTTTTCTGCTGTAATCCGCTATAATGGCGCTGCAAAGTGGGTGGTATGGCAGGATTTTGGCCCTCCCATCGATTACTCAAACATTAAATATATGTTTGAGGTTTTTTAGGTCATAGAAAGACAGGATTTACTTTTCAACTGCAAATCATATCAAATATTCAATCCCTTGAAAATTGAAAGGTTGTGTCAGGAATCTGCAACTAACAGATTAATTGAACATATATATCACAACAAGAACCTAGTTTAAAAAGCATATCAAAATGAAAGTATTGCAATAAGTGTGAAAATTGTATCAAAATGCTTTCATGAGTATTGTATTTGGGTTTCTATTACAGTACTGGAGGATGAGAGGGATGTGAGTGTAAGGACATAGGAATAGGAATAGTTTTATGGCTTGTTGCAGTGGTTGTAGATGTAAAGTTGTGGATCTATAAATTGTTTGGTTTGCAGCATAATTTTGGTTTCATTGGTCTCTAGTTGCTTTGGTTGCTACCCATTAATTTTGATCATGTTTATTGGATACGTTAGAGACGTTGGCAAGCTGTTTGGACATTGTTAAGATACTAAATGTGGACATCTTTGATACTTTTGTATGTCTGGTACAAGGATAATTTGATTTCATATATGATTTATAATACAATCAATCAAACGACCTAAATGAGTGTAAGAAGATCCACCTTCTAACACCGTCTTCTTACTTTTCTCACTCATCTCTTTCACTTTCTTTCTGAACTCTCCATCCATATCCAACACATTTCTTATTCCTCTTTCAATCTTGTCTGCAGTTAAAAGATAGTTAGGTTCACCCATTAACTCCACTTTATAATCTAATGCAATCTCCACAGCCATCTTCAACTCACACACCAATTGAAAAGCATTAGTTTGTTGTTCAGCAAAAAGTGGCCATGTGGCAATGGGTACACCAAAATATATGCTCTCGAGTATAGAATTCCAGCCACAGTGCGAAACAAATCCTCCTGTAGCTGGGTGGGCTAGTATTTGGGTCTGTGGAGCCCACCCTATTATCCGTCCAATCTCCTTCGTTCGATCTAAAAATCCTTCAGGTAAAAGCTTAACAAAATCTGAAATAGAATAGTCTGAGGGCATTGCTATGACACCCTTCGGTTGAGGTTTACGCAGAGACCATACAAAGCGGGCCCCACTATTCTCAACAGCTCGTGCGATCTCGTTAACCTGATCCTCATCAAAAGAACCCCTGGTCCCAAAGCAAATGAAAACTACCGAGGAAGGAGGTTGATCGTCAAGCCACTTGATGATATCATTTGAATCAACGGTACCCTTGGTTTCGGGCTCTGGGTTTAAAATGGGCCCCACCGGGTATATAGTTGGTAAAGCAGCTAGATCAGGATGAGAGAAAAACGAGTGAACCGCATAGGATTCTAGCTCTTCAAATGAATTTACAATAATACCATCAGCGTTCTTGAGACCTCTTATATAGTTCATGAAAATTGATTCCCATTGCTTGCTTACCACAGAATCGGGAAACGAGTATAATGGAACCGAGTTTTCAAAACTCGGGACAGCCAACTCAGTGAGTTGCTGCAATCGAGTCAAATCGAGGTTGTCTCGTTCACGTAGAGTGTGAAGATGAAGAGTCAAACCAAGGGAAGCAACGCCGGAAGTGTAGAAAACTAGCGTAGGAATGGAAAATTCTTTGGCAATATCGATCATAGTGGTGCAGAACATGTCAACAACGAAGGTGGTGAGGACTCCGTTTTCTCCTCTTTCAATAGCGAGGTTAGAGACGGCTTGTTTGACGTTTGGTTTATGAGCTTCTATGAGAGCAATTATGGCAGACCTTGGAGGAGTGTTTGGAGGAAGAGAACATTCTGGAAGGTTGATGACGTTGATTGAATCGGTGATTGGAAGGGATTTAATATAGTCATCGGTTTCTGGGGCTAGTGGGAGTTTCATAACTAAGACGGTTATTCGGAGACGGTCGTCACGGTTGATTAGAAACTTCGCGAACTCAAGAGTGGAAATTATATGGCTCATAACTGGAAAAGGGATAAACACCACTTCTGCTTTCTTCATCTTGGAGCACAGGATAAACAATTCAGTGTAAGTTTCTGTGTTTTGAATTGTTCTTTGATTCTACTGTTTTTTATCCAGGATCTGGAATAGGAAACCCCCAATTTCAGTATGATGTGTTTGATATATGTCTGTACTGAAATATATATATATATACACACAACCGGAATCACTTCTTGAAGAAGAGAGAATATTTATTATTTAATTAGTTTATAAATGTATATTTAGATTGACAATGACATTGATAAATTCCGGTATATACTATACTGACATAAGCAAAAACTATATTCTAGAATGTCTGCTACAAGATCAGATAGGTGTGGTGATTTTTGTCAAATTCGTTGAAATGCATTATTGGTTTCACGGTTGGAATTCTTAGAATTGATTCTGGATGTAGAATTGATTTTGTCATATTTAATTGCTCTCAAGTAGAATTGATTATGCTTTTCAGAATACATTCTACTTAAAGATAGGATTTGTTAGTCTAAACGTGATTTTTATACACTGTTTAACTCACTTTTGGAAGAATTTATTCAAACATAAATCTCTTTACCTTAAACTCACTTTTAGTCAAAATCAATTGTACATAATCAATTCACTCAAAATCAATTTTTTTTTACCGCAAATCCAAAACCAAAACCAATTCTATTTAAATGAAAGTGATGTCATTGCTTTGCTGGCTGGTATGGAAAATGTGAAATGAGAGTAAAGGTGAGATTGATATGTTTGTCTTTATATTTATGGAAGAATCAATGGATGGTGGGGCTATTGGCTAGTTTTTCTTTGCTTTTGGTATGGTTTATTTACTATGGCCCCATATTTGGACTTTTGAAAATTTATATGGTTTGTGTGCATGCGTATTACATAGGGTAATAATATAGTGAAGACTACCTGTTTTTCTATCAAATTTTGGATTGTTTTGGAGCTTTTGTAAACCTGATTCTTTTACAATAATATCCTTTGGAGTGCAATTTTATGGTTCTAGCTTCTTATAATATGTTTGAGGTTTTTTAGTTCATAGAAAGTTAGGATTTACTTTTCGACTGCAAACCATATCAAATACTCAATCCCTTGAAAATTGTGTTAGGGAATCAGCAACTAACAGATTAGTTGAACATATATCAGAACAAGAACCTATATTAAAAAGCATATGAAAATGAAAGTATTGTAAGAAGTGTAAAATTCTATGATTATGCTTTCATGTGAGTATTGTATTTGAGTTAGTCATTCCCGGATAGTGGCGAGGAGTGGTTGACCCCAAAAGTGGGATAGTGGGATAGCGTAGCGGGGTGACCGCCCTATTTGATCATTTTTGGACAAATAACATATAATAATTATAAACATATATTTAATGTAAAATTATACAAATAACTTAACTCATGAAATATTCATATATCAGAACACACATCTTGAAGTGTCTAACCGATTATGAAGGGAGGTTAAAGTTGAGTCACAGCTCAAATTTGATTGAAAAATTTAAAATTACCTTTAAAACATTGAAATTTTAAGGGATGATTTCGGTTTTTTATAGGTGAAAAGGATGGCGAGTTAGAAATTGCTCCGGATTGGAAACCACTTTGCTATGTTATTCTGTTATTTATCTTATAGCGACCGCTACCCAATATAGAGAGAAATAAATAATGGGTACGGGTAATAGATATTTCACACAATATAGCTGCCAATATAACCAATGGAACGTTGTTGTCCTAAGATAACTAATAGAAAGCATTGAGAAAAATAAATAATGAAGTCTTAGTCACCAGTAGTAATAGCAAAAAAGATGTGTAAAATTCAGATGTATAATAGCATAAAAGAGAATAACCAATCCTCTTGACTAAATAATGGTTGCAAGGCCAACTCTAAGATAACACTGTAACGTTTACCTAATGCTTCTAATTTTGATCTTTGACGGTCAAAAATAGATTTGATCACCAACAATTACAAACTGTATCAGTAATTAGTCATTATTTGTAAGCTTTGAAATATATATAATTTAAACTTTATGTTGATAAACTAATAACCTCTAGCTTTTTTGAAATCCTGTACTAGCTTACTAGTATAATTTAATCTGATACTTGATTCACAATATAATCAATCAAACTACCTAAATAAATGTAGGAAGATCCACCCTCTAACAAAGTCTTTTTACATTTTTTCCTTATTTCTTTCACTTTTTTCTTTACCTCTTCATCCTTATCCAACACACTCCTTATTCCTCTGTGAATCTTATCAGCAGTTATAAGATAGTTAGACTCACCATTAATCTCCACCTTATAATCCAATGCAATCTCCACACCCATCTTCAACTCACACACCAATTGAAAAGCATTACTTGGTTGTTCGGCATATAACGGCCACGCGACAATAGGCATGTCAAAATATATGCTTTCGAGTGTGGAATTCCAGCCACAATGTGAAAGAAATTCTCTTGTGGCTGGGTGAGCTAGTATTTCGGTCTGTGGGGCCTAATGATCTTTCCAATATCTATTGCTCAATATAGGAATCCCTCAGGTAAAACCGAATTCAAAGCAAAAAGAGAATAAGCAGAGGGCGCAACCATGGTGCCTTTCGGTGAGGGTTTACTGAGAGACCATATTAAGCGGGTCCCACTATTCTCAATAGCAAGTGTGATCTTCTTTATCTGATAGCTAGGGATATAACCCTTACCTCCGAAACAGGGGAAAACTACCGAGGAAGAAGGTTGATCATCAAGCCATTTGATGATATCATCATAATCAATGGTTCCTTTGGATTCAGACTTCTTTGGGTTTAACATGGGTCCCACCAGATATATTGGTAAAGCTGCTAGATCATGATGAGAGAATTCTTGAGGCCTAGCTCTTCAAATGAATTAACTATAATGCCAGTAGAATTCTTGAGGCCTTTTGCATAGTTTATGAAAAACGACTCTCATTCCTTGATTAACCCAAAATCTGACAGCGAGTTTATAGGAACCGAGTTGGCAAAACTCGGGATGGCTAACTCGTTCTGCTTCAGGAGTTGAGTCGAATCGATGTTATCTCATCCAATCCATCCATTAAAAGATAAAATTCATCCAATCCATCAATTAACATATTTCTAATGGATGGATATCCATCCATCCAAAAAATTAATTTAAAAATTCTTAATTTAATAAGTGACAACATAATATCCAATGGATTTATAAAATGAGATGGACGGATTGAATCCATCCATATGAGTTAGTGGATATTATCTAAATGAATTTTATTGCCACCTCTACTACAAAGGCGGCGAGAACTCCGTTTTCTTGTCCAAAAGTGAGGTTAAAGATGACTTGCTTGATGTTTGGTTTTTGTGGTCCTTTAACTTAATATTTTACTGTGGTCCCTATTTAATAAACTTACTTTTAGTCTTCGAAAACAATTTGGTTAGTCAATTTAGTTCATTACCTTTAACTTTAAATGTCTTAGTAGTTCATTACCTTTAACTTTAAATGTCTTAGGTGAGACTTAGATTTTATTATTTTCTTTAATTTTAACCATTTAATTTTTTAACAAATATCTTATGGTTGGAAATTGATAATTTATTTAATGTAATTATGAACTCTAAACACATGATATTATTTATATAACTTCATCTTCTTCCCTCATCTCCTTCGTCATCTTCATCATACATTAATCATCATTTATCTAAATCCAAAAAAAATAAAATAAAATAAAAATTCATCTAAAAAAGACATCGTAAAAATAATTTGAGATAACAAAATCTTGGAATAAAGAAATAATTGTGTGATGATAAACTTCTCCAAAACAAGAACTACAAATACTGAGCACTAAATCTTGGAGTGAGGACAGAGTGAGACAAAGACCCTACAATGTTAGATACTAACACCTACAGGCAAAAAGCCACATAAATTCACTTCATAATAACAAATAAATAAGTCTAAAGACAAAAACTTACACCAACAAAGATGAAGATTGTAGGAAGCTTGCGTATCATTCTCCACTGTTTCATACACATAGGCTCTTTACCGTCATTTTATGAGTTATAGATCTGATTTTTTCTATTCAAAATTGCACATGGTGCCTTTCAACAAAACGTCAAAAGATGTCAAATGTGAAAGAGATGATTTTTTAATGTTAATTTGTATCTTAAGATTGAGGCTTAAAACCAAGATTTAAGATCCAATTAATATTTATTTATTTAACTATTTTCTTACTGTCTGGGTTTTTGAATGAAGATATTATTGTGTGATGCTGAGGATATTATCAAGCTGTTTGAAATCCTTAACCGTTGGAGGGATATGGAGGATGCTTGAGTTTGAAGCAATTGAAGCTGGCTGTATAAGCAATGTAAACCACTCATAGGCATGGCTAATAGTGGGATTCAAATCATGGAAAAATCTAAAGTATCACAGAGATTCAAGAGACTAGATGATTTTTGGTGATTAAAGTTTGAAGCTTTCTTATTCCCTTTTTTGGCACGAACAAGCAAACTCTGTCATATTCCATCCACGACAAAGCAAGCTAAACCACCAACTCTTGTTTTGTTTTTGGCCTCCAACAACATTTTAAATAACCATTAAGGTAATCAATCTAAAACATCCATTGTTTTTTTAATAACGAAAGATATTCATTCAAATTAATTGAATAAATTAAAAATTTACAAATTCAAAATCGCCAATATTTAAATGACGAATCAAAGTTATTATCTAAACGTGTTTTGAACTAAAGTTGATTAGTCAATTTAAACTAAATAAACATTGCATTAAGATGACAACTAAAACAACATTACATCTATACAACAAAATCACTAAAGAAAAAAAAAACATATTTGTGTGGAAACCTCTAATTTATATCAAATGATGGGGTGATTTCATATTAAAAATTGTTCCAAAACTATCATCTCTACAATGGATGAAAATAATGAGAAAAACATTGTGTGATACTTCGAATTAAGGGACTTCGACATTTATGGTGTATTAGTGTTATTTGATACTCTTCAACAGTGTTTTTGTTTGTGCATTGATATTGTTTCGTTGATGATATTATTGTTATTGATTGAATAGTTTTGTTCTTAATTGTTATGAAATAATTATGTAAATATATATAGATATTATCATACTTAAAGAATATGCCATCGACAATCTATATTATTATTATTATTGTTTTATTGATGATATTATTATTATTGTTTCAACGTATATTTTTCAATTTTATCATTTAATTAATATTATTTTTATTATTCCTAAAACTTAATAAAAAATAATTTGATAAAAATAACATCCTATTTCTTTCATTTTTTAACTTATGTGAAAGTATTAACAGATAATTAATAATAATATATCATTAAAAAAATTAAACATCTTTAAATTACTAACCTTTAAGTTACCCTTCCCAATGCAAACAAACATTTCATTAATTAATCCATTAAATTTTATGAGCTCCTCAATTCTTAGAAGAATGAATTGCTTGGTTACTCATATTTCTCAGAAAGAAAACATGTGTGTGAATAGTCTAATCAGCATTCATCTTTGTGAGACATTGGATCGAACTCTAGTATGGTTGAAGTTTGTTCGCAAGTAATGCGTGTTGTAGTCGAAGTTTGTTCTAACATGCATGAGTAAATATTGCTAAGGTTGTTAGCATGAGTAAATATTGCTAAGGTTGTTAGCATGAGTAAATATTGCTAGGGTTGTTAGCATGTTGAATTGGGTCTTGCTTGTAAGTCCAATTGTTTAAGTTAGCTTGTACCCTAAGTTAGCTTGTAATGGGTAATTATTAAAAAGCCCATTAGGTTAGTGTGCTATTTTATTATAAATAGGATGCTAGTTTCTCAATCTTGGCATAAGGAAAAATAGGAAGATAAAATCTTAATTTCAAGGGAGAGAGGTTATTTTGTTATTCTTGTATACTTGTAATTTTGTTCAAAGAGAAAGGAAAGAATAGCAGTTTAATAACCAATCCTTGTTGTTCCTTGTTGTTTTACCTTGTTTTCTTTGTTAACCCTAACCCTTGTGTGTTTCTTGATCATTAAGAAACCGTTTATACTTTGTTTAAAGGTATCCGATTCACAACAAATTGGTGCGGTGAGCGTGGAGAAGATGCCTTTAACAAAGTATGAGATTGAAAAGTTCACCGGAGTGAACGACTTTGGTCTGTGGCGCTTGAAGATGAAAGCCCTATTGGTTCAGCAGGGTTGTTTGGAAGCGTTGAAGGGTGAGGCAGCCATGGACGCTGCGTTAACGGCAAAAGAAAAGACGGGCATGATCGAGAAAGCCCACAGCGCAATATTATTGAGCCTTGGTGATAAGGTTCTTCGACAGGTATCAAAGGAGACTACAGCATCGGGATTATGGGTGAAACTTGAAATTTTGTACATGACCAAATCTCTGGTGAATCGACTATACCTGAAGCAAGCTTTATATTCATTCAAGATGAGTGAAGACAAAGTGTTGGCTGAGCAGTTGGATATGTTCAACAAGCTGATTCTTGATCTTGAAAATATTGATGTGAAGATCGATGATGAAGATCAAGCACTATTGCTGATGTGTGCTTTGCCTAGAACACATGCTCACTTCAAAGAAACTCTCTTGTATGGAAGGGTGTCCCTGACCTTTGAAGAAGTTCAATCAGCCTTGTATTCTAAGGACTTGAACGAACGAAAGGAGCATAAACCTTCGACGGTGGGCGAAGGTTTGGCCGTTAAGGGAAAATTCTTGCGAAAGGATGGTAAGTTCGACAAGAAAAAAGGTAAAAGTCAACAGAAGTCTTATAGTGGCGAAACATCTAGTATTCGATGTTACCACTGTAAGAAGGAGGGTCACATAAGAAAGCTGTGCCCTGAACGCCTGAAAGATCATGGAGGTAATGGCAATGCAACCATTGTTCAAGATGACTTCGACTCATCTGATGTTCTTATGGTTTCAAGTGGCGACTCGAGGAAAGAGTGGATTATGGATTCAGGTTGCACTTGGCACATGACTCCAAACAGAGAATTGTTCGAGGAGTTATGTGATCAAGATGGTGGATCTGTGCTGTTAGGAAACAACAAATCTTGCAAAATTGCAGGTATTGGATCTGTGAGATTCAAGCTCCATGATGAGTCAATAAAGTTATTGACTGAAGTCAGGTACGTACCTGACTTGAAGAGAAATTTGATTTCTCTTGGTGAATTCGACAGAAAAGGATATGTTTTTCAAGGAGAGAAAAGTATCCTAAGAGTCATGAAGGGGTCGAAGGAAGTCTTGAGAGGCGTGAAGAAACAAGGCTTGTATACCCTTGAGGCTGAGGTTGTAAGTGGTTCGACAAATGTTGCATCCACGAAATCTATGTCGAAG